CTGTCTTCAGGTTCCGTGCAGGGGAGCTATGCAGCAGCACTCTGGGTCTGCCTTTCCTCTTTGTGTAGATGTGTGTTCCTGGTATGAACTGCTTCCTTCCCCGCAAAGGGTGACGGAATGTCCTTTCCAGCAGAAGGGAGTGGAAATTTACTCCCAGGTTTCACATTGCAGTAATTCACCTGAAGTTCTTCCCAGTTTTGACATGTCTGTGCCAACTTGTTTTGTCTAGCTTTGGCTCTGATGTACTATCCAGTGTGAATGGAATCATATATAATGATGAGATGGATGACTTCAGCTCACCTCACATTATCAATGGATTTGGGATCCCTCCTTCTCCAGCAAATTTCATAGAACCAGGTAGCTGTAAACTACCTCGCTATCTGATTGTTGAAGCTGTATCTTGCATTAGTATGCACTGTCAGCTGTCTCTCTGTGCTCCACTGGGATCTGGAGGGCAGCTGCAGGTAGATCCATTTCATGCCCCTAACTTAAGCTCCCTCCCTGCTCCATCACTGCTTCCTGCAGAGCCATCTCACTGCAGCTAATGTGGGCTGGGATTCTACCACCTTCCTGTACCTATGCTTTGGAAGGAGACAGGGAAGTGAGAGGACAGAAAGGGAAGTCCTGTGGTGTTGGAGAGGCAGCTGTGTGACAGCCCCAACTGAAACAGCACCATAGATGAAGGAGCCTTCAGCCCCCCTGCACAGAAGACCAGGGTTAAACTTTGTATTATGGGAGCAAGGAGGAGATGTGTATAGGGGACAGTGGGACACTCAGGGGATGAACAAAACACAAGATGAGTTAGGAAAACGGATATGGAAACTTTGGGTTTAGATGTGCAGCCGGAGCTGGCAGTCTGTAAGTTACAGGCAGAAAACTGAGCCTTTGTTGAATCTGTGTCCCCAACAGGTAAACAGCCACTGTCCTCCATGTGCCCTTCCATTTTGGTGGATAAAACAAAAAAGATCAGGATGGTGGTTGGTGCTTCTGGAGGAGCAAAAATAACCACAGCAACAGCACTGGTATGTGATGATGTGGACAAAGCAAAGTTGGGGGGAGGCAGTGTCTGGGGTAAAGGATTCAAGTCTCTGCCTGTGATGTGACCGTAGCCATGGCTTCCTGCTGCAAGCCTGGGTGCTGAAAGAGAGGGTCCTGCCTGGCCTCTGGTCAGAGGACCAGACCTCCAAACCCAACTCCTGCCAAATGGACAAAGGGTCTCTCACAATTACTCCCTCCCGTGACTCTGGGTCTTTTCCTTTGGCAAGTTGTTCTTATCACTTCCAAGAGTCCAGTTACACCCAAAGTAACAATGGGAGAAAGCTGCCTCCTTGTGCAAGTGCACAGCCATTCACAGCGTCACACTGGGTCCTGCTTTCTAGCTAAGGTAGAGCTGAAGTTTCTGCAAGAAGTGTTGTTACAAGCAGCTTCTGAAGTTGTTGATGCTAAGGCTATTTTCACTTGCCAGCAGCTTCAAGCTGTGATCTTAGCAAGCGGGGATGGGCCAGGTTTAAGAAAACCGGTTGCACAGCAGTGAGAAGCTGTAAGTGTATGTTTACACTGAGGAGACTGCTGTGTGCCAAACGAGCCAGCAGTGCCTTACTCACAGCAGGATAAATCCAGCTACAGTAGCCTGAGGGTCTGATCCTTCTCCTGTGTTCATTTTAGCCACTCATGGTCTCTTTATGAGGGAATCATCCTAAGTATATAAAGCCTGACTTGCTGCAATGTACCCATGAGAGGGAGCGCTGGAAGAAGAGGGAACTACAATTTAGATCCTCTATGTTCTCTAGTGAACATCCCTCAGAAATCTCTGCCTTTGTTGCTGCAAGGATCAAGTCTCTTTGAAGGCGAGGAGCTAACATTAAGGCTTTTTGCATCTCACAGGCGGTCATCAATTCCGTCTGGTTTGGTTATGATGTGAAGAAAGCAGTGGAAGAGCCCAGAATTCACGATCAGCTGTTTCCTGATGTCACAGAGCTTGAGGAGCAAATAGAGGAGGTTTGTCTGATTTGAGGCTGGGGTGTTTGTGAGCTTTTTGTCTGGTGCTGATCCAGAGTGTTGGGAAGACATGCGTGTGGAAAATTATTATGTGTTGCCAAATGTTCTTAGGGGAGCAGCATGAAAGCTGACAGGTCAGTACGGGGCTGTTCGAGTGTACTTTTAGTCTCAGTCCCACAGAAGAGGAACAGCTTATAGTTCTAGGAGACCTACATAAAGCAGGCATTGCATGCTGGGGTAGGCGTGGAGGATTCAGGACACAGAATCCAGCCCATGTGCAGTTTCTCTCTCCTGTTGTCCTCATGCACTTCTGCGTTTCAGGGTGTAGAAGAACAACTACGGATGAGAAAACACACCACCACACGGGGGGGCAGCGGCATTTCGGTTGTGCAAGCCGTTCTCAGAACAGATGATGGATGGGCTGCAGCCTCTGATTCCCGGAAAGGTGGCATCCCTGCAGGCTACTGACCCAGCTCAGCTCTTCTTCATCAGGGCACTAGTGACACTGAGGTGTGGCTGGGAGAAAGATCCTTCAGGTCTGCAATGCAGGGACTTTAACAGGAAAGGGAGCAAATTTGCCTGTGGTTCTACTGACAGAACTGGGACTTTGGTTCTCAACAATCACAACTGAAGTGCCTCGTGCCACAGCAGTGTGCTGAAACAAACCAGGATGTGACCTACTTGGAAAGTCTGTTCTGCCTTGAAGAGTTTGATTCCTGCTTCCTCTCCATCCCAGAAGTGTTTCAGCTAGGAGGAATGTCTCTGTCACAGCTAGAGAAGAGATTTCTTCTTATTGGTGTAGACAGGAGTTGCAGGACCCTGAGGACAAACTAATAGACCCTTGCCATAGGAGGGAGCTTGGCTCAAACTGGGATAAGCCTTCACAAACTCACCGCTCTTTGTTTTTTGTTTTTTTTTTTAAAACAAGATGTTTTTCTGCTTTTCACTTCAGCTGATTGTTGGAGATGAGTGGGTAACAGGGGAAATGGCTTCAACCTTTCTTATGTTTTCGTTGAGAAGGTCTAAAGGGAAGATGCTACCTGTAAAACTGAGCACAACTAAAACAAATAAAAATGGTGTCACATATTTTTTTCTTGCCCATACAGCTGATGTTACCAAAAAGGATGGTGAGAGTCTCCATGAACAAAGTTCTCCTGAGATTTTGTTTTCTTGTTGAAGCTATGAGTGAAAAAATACATATAGTTAAATATCCAAAACAAACCTGTTCTTTCTCCAGCTTGCTTCCTACCCCATCATAATGCAGGCCTGGATTCTGAGGAAATTAAGCCTCTAAAAAGCATGCTGCAGCTGGTTGTTTGAAGGTAAGCTGCAGTTAATCAGTCAGTGAGCTCTCAGTACTCTGTATCTGATTTGGAATGGCTAACAGTGTCAGTGCCTACACACAGGTAGGTATTGGTGTTCTCTTACCAGCATGGACTGAAATACCACGTCGTATAAACTTTGCCTAAGATCAAGAAATGAGTGTTCCCAGATGCTGTCAGGCTTTAAGGGGTGTTTATGAAATCCTGGAAACAGTGGTAATAGTAACTAATTGCATCTGTTTGGCTGGTGGAAACTTCCTGTCAGACTGTAAGAGGCTCAAAATACAGAATGTACCGAAGAGAAAATGAAAGCCTGAAATTGTAGGCATTACATGCTGCCTCTGTCTCAGTACTTGCTGGAATTGATGTGAGTCTTCAGTGATAGTGAGATAGGTGATGCTTTTGATAGGGTTATGACACTGAGGAATGTATGTGCTTATATATCTCCAACTAAATAAGTGACTTTTACTGAAAGGAGCCTGGGATGAACTCTGGGTGTCTTCTTCCTCAGCTGTTACTGATGAGGAGGTGTTTAGTGCAGCTAAGGCAGTAATTAATTGTGAACAATGCAGTCATTGTGTTCGTGGAAGAACAAGATTGGTGTGAGGCCAAACCTGGATGTTGTTGGGTTGTTTTCCTTTTGCAGAACTGTGACTTCGACTGTTCCACCTCTTGTAATGCCAGGATAGCTGTTCCTCAGTGGCAGGCTGCAGTTGAAATCCAGTGTGCAGGTGTATTGTAGGAAGTTTGGATACAGGGCTGTGTGCTGCAGTGGCAGCTGTGACACTTGCAGGGAGTACTTGGCTCTTTGGACATAAAACAAGCTGAGCTTTCTTGGCCAAGTGAGATCTGAGAAAAATAGAGGTTGCTCTGAAAGTAATGCCTCCTATTTGTTTTCATGGAAACCACAACAAAGAGCACAGTAATGCTGTTTGTTAGAGCAAATTCTCATCTATGAAGACATATTTTTCAAAACAGTCACCACCATCAGCTGTATTTTTTCACCAGCAATGAACAACAGCCTGCACGCTGTGTTCATCAACATCTGTGCTAGTGGAGGTGATGCATTGACACAGTCACTGCAGTTAGTGTAGGATGTGCTCAGAAATGGGGATAACTGGCTTCTGGGAAGTGACAAACATGCAAAACTTTTGCTGAACTGCTTCTAGCAGTTTGAGGCACATAAGTCACTCTTTCCTTTCTGAATTTACTGTATCTGGTGAGGAACCTTCCCTATTTATAACCTATTTTACAAAATTTCTCTTCTGGAGAGTTTAGTTTTCATCATGGCTAACCACACTTCTGTTTCAAATGATTATTATAAGTGCATTTGAATTCTTTGCTCTACAGAACCATTGGCTTGGGCTTTTTTTATGTTTGTTTATCAGTATCGCTACAGAGGGCTCATTTAGAAAACTAAACATAAAACTAAAGGCTTGAATCTACATCCTACACTTTTTTTTTTTTTAAAGCAGGCTGCAGACACTCACCCATGCTGTGGCATCCATCTGCATCTCACTTGGATGTAGCTGTACATAGGGCATGCACATCTCCCAGCTGCTTTGGTTCCACATTCAGTTCATGCTGCACTGAGGCTCTGTATCAGTAGGTGAATGTCAGTGAAAGTAAGGAGGTAAGTCCTCTCTCAAACAACTGCTTGTGCTTTAAGCTAGGGAACAGTTTAAGGTTTAAAACACTTTATTAAAAATATAATTTAAAGACCTTGTTAGAAAACAGAGCAGCCTATGTACAGCAGTGCTTTAAAAGTCCGTGTGACTTGACTAGTTATAAAAATAATGCTCTTCTGTTGGCATCAGCATGAATGGGGAGGGATGAACCTGGGAGACTCTGAGTTTCTGGAGCACTGAGGAGGTGGCAGGGTGAGGAAGAGGTACACATCTCAGCTTCACGAGATGTTTTGTTTGTCAGTGAGGGCTGCCACAGTGGGCAATCTGCATGCATTCCTTTCTGCCTTGCAAATGAAATCTGTGACAGGTTCTGAAACTGCTCAATTGGTTTCAGTGTTAATAGCAAAGCAGTTAAATTGCAGCAAGTGCTGGTCAGAAGATCATATTCCCGTAGCTTCCTTGTGAGACGTTGCAGTGATGGCAGTATATTGGAAAGGTGATACGCTGCATTGGCTGGATAACTGAGGTGTGCTTTACCCTTTGGTACATCAGAAATGAAAGGAATTAGGAGAATCAGTTGTTTTATGGCTTGGTTTTTCTGGAAGTGAGACGTGATGGGGCATGGTTTAATAGCAAAGCAAGAGCTGCTCCCCCTGCCTTCAGCCAGTGTCATTTTGGTTGCTTTTCTGTAAGCCCCAAGCAGTTGGTCAAGCTAGAAATAACTGCAGATCTTGTTAAAGCCAGGATCTTGAGTAGTCTGGCTGCTCTGTCTGGATCTAGAGAGCTTTACTTAGAAAATCATTGAAATTCATCTGAAGGCCAAGATTTCAACAAGTCAATGACTTACTGACAAAGTTTTGTTGTTAAGAATGTAGACTCATTACTCACCTCTCTTTCTTTACAACAGTGCAGGCAGATGGTCTGGTCTGAGTTTGCTTTAATTGCCTGTGCTCAAATACTTGCTATTGGTGGCCACAGAGCAAGGTTTTTTGTTTGTGCAGTTGAAATACCAAGGGTTGCATGGGAGGTGACAATCATGGGGGGTAAGGAGGGCTCTGCTAGTGCCTACCTAGTTTAACTTTGCTGTCAGAAACACTCATATAATACTGTCTGCATCCATAGGAAAGTAACATTCACAAGCTTTCAGAAAACAGAAGTTGTTGGTTATTTGAGAAATGCGTTGTGAGATGTTTATACTTGTTTAACATTAGATTCCTTTGGCCATCCTAAGGAGGGCAACGTTACAGGGTAATGGCAAAGGACCTCTTGTGTCCAGATAAATGGGTTCAGGTCTCTCCTCCAGAAGCTCCCAACTAGTCATGCAGTTTCATTCTTGTCATCTTCAGGGAACATTTGAGACTATTTGTGATAAACAGAGAATTAGAGCATGTACTCAGGCTAAGAAAGAAAAGTGTTTTGCAACTGTATCAGCACTTTTCAGCAGTCTTGGGGTTTGCCTGTCCAGAAGAAGCTCATGCCTACAAAATAAGTCTTCTGATTATATATCCTTTGCATTTTGAAGGAAGTTTTATAAAGCTTCAAAAGCAATACAGTTTTTCTTCAACTGCTGTCTTTATCTGTCTTCCCAAACTACTTCTCTTCTGCAGGCAATGAGGAGGAAGAACAGGCATAAATGAGGACTCTCCTACTACAGGGAGAGGTGTCATCAAGGAGCGAAGCAGCAACTTCACATTGCCCCATAGGAGTTTAGACTTTAGGTGACCAGTAGGCAGAGTAGAATAAGGCTTCAGCTCCTGGTTTCCATTATGTCTCTAAAGTAGAGAACATGCTTGGCAGTAAGCTGGTGCTATGGTGCACTGATTCCATCTGCCATTCTTTGGGAAAAGTAAGGCTCATCTGGATGGGAAAACCAAGAGGTAGAACACCAAGTTTTGCTTTCTTCTCTTTCTAAACCCATCCTGGAAGCCCCATTGTAATTGTATACGTTGTAATCCTCACCCTACCGACATTTCCTATAGTTACTCAGTTAATTCACATTGCTGAGCCCCAGCAATTAGAAGAAGCTTATCATGGCAGCAGCCTGAAAGAAACCAATTCTGTTCTTAACCGAGGCTCTCGAGCAGCAGTGGAAGATGCATGAATCTGAATTTAGTTATCTCCTGTGGCTTGGACTAGAATAGAGGCGTTGAGATGGCATTTCATGCTAATATCCAGCTGATTTCCCCAGCTTCCTTTTATCAGAGTAAGCAGAGATGCATTTTCCTTCCTTGGAAACTCCCTGCACGACATTCACTGCGAATTCAACTTTCTGTTCTTTGTGTCCTCTTTTCAGCAGGCTGTTTCTAACATCCTGCAGAAGAAAAAAAATGGAGTAAATGGGGCAGGAACCTGAGGTCTTAGCATTGCCATGTGTGGAAATGAAGTATGTATGTGCAAGGTCAGGTCAAGAGAGCATGATTCAAGGAAGAAGGAGGTTAAGCTAGAAGCAAAATGCAGATTATTCAGGAGAGTTACAGAGTCCAATCTCCTTCCCATCAAAAGGAGATGATGAAGGGAAGATCCAACCAAGGCTGCTCACCTCACTGAAGTGTTTCTCAAACAGGATGCTGTCTTTGTTGGTATGCATGATGGGAGATGAAATGGCACGTTCCAAATCATAACCAAACCACAGCTTGTTTACAATGGCCTGCAATGAAACAAACTGCATGCTAACTGAAGATACGCAATAAGAACCTGAACCACGTGTTGATGGTTGTTCTTTCTATTTTCATATTTTACAGAAAAAGTCCTGTACTTTCTTTTTGAAGAAGAAAGAGAAGTTCTGCAGCAAAATTGTATGTTATGTTTACAGGTTTTTTGAACCAGATAATCTTTTGTTCTATTCTCTGGTATCAGCAACAGTGAAGAATCCTTTCTGCACTTCTCCAAGTCACTAGCTTTTCAGATTTCTAATGTATCCTTCACCATCATCATCTCCACCTGAAGAGTCCTATTTTAATCACTACAGCCCTAAGGCTGTTTCATATCCCTTCCCCATAGCTGTGGTCCATGTAGATGCAGTGCAGTTCCACCAGTATCCACCGCCAACTCACAAAAGCTGCTTTTCTAGATTGCTTGGGAGTATGCAGTACTGTATAATGATCATCTCAGATCTTTACTGGACATCCCTGGTGAGCTTCCTCCCTGAGAAAACAGTTCACTTTTTTTTCCTTCTCTGCTTTTACAGTCATTTAAACAGTTACTGGTGTATGAAAGCCTTCACTCTTAGTACTGCCAGTTCAAGTTACAGTATTTTGTGATGCATTACCTTGTTTTACATTGACTTTCTCAACTTATTACAGCTGTGTTTGTCTATTAATTCTATTATTTGATATAGTTTGTACCTTTTTTTCCCATTATTTATTAGTTTTTTTCTCTATAATTCTTTTTAAGGCTTGGGTCACAGTTACCATCTTTTATCCTCTGGTACTGAAGCAGACTGAGGGCAGATGACATTTCAGATCTTGGTATAATTTTTTTCTGATTCTGCTACTGCTTATTTATTCGTCCTGCCACCTATGCTGACTCTGGCTGTCCAGAAATAAAGTCTTAGGTTGGAATACTTCCTATGCTTTTTTCCAGATGAAGACAGAAAGAAAACTTATGTTTATTAGACTTCATGCTTCTGTAAGTTTTTTTTCTTTAAGATGTGTTACTCTCTGCGTATGCATGGAGGTGGCTCACTGTTGTGACTGTTTGTTTCCATCAGGTAACTTATTGGTTACCATGAGGTTTGGGGCAATGCTTTTCTTCCTAATAACTTCCTTAACTTGCTCTTTAATTCTTTCAGCTTCTTCCCTTTCAAAAAAGAATCAAGGGAGTCAGCTACCACTTGCTCTGAACTGCAACCTGCAGCTGTTAAAGACTTCTAAACTGAAAACAGAACAAAGCACCAAGGAGTCAAAATCCAAAAAGAACTGAGTAGAAAAGAACAAGTGGGGACTGACTATGCTGGAAGTCTGAGAGGGTTGAAAGAGATGGCAAATGCTGTGGGTTCCCCTACCTCCCCCCATTCCTATTCCCTCCTGGTGGAATTACAGTCCAACAGAGAAAAGCTAAAAGCAAGAAGGTGAGGATGGACTGTTTGCAGCAGGCCCTCTTCACTGCTGCCCACTTAACAGTACTGTCAGCAGCAATTGTTTAGCTTTCAGTCCGATTAGTGCAAGGTGTTCCTGTGCAGTACCTCTTCACTCACCATAGCAGTAGCACTGATAATCCAGCCCCCACCTGCCCCTCCAATCACCAGCATGTCTCCTGACTTGGAGATGAGGATAGAAGGCACCATTGCTGAGGGAGGCCTCTCTCCTAGGGCAAAGGCAGAAAGTATTATACCTCCTGTATTAGGGCACACAGATTCATTTCTCCCAGCTGTGCATTCCTTACGGAGAACCAACCTCATTCCTCACGAGGCCCAAGTTTTCCAGACATCTAGATGGCTTGTGCTGAGACCCCACCTCACAAGAAACTGGCCCTTTACAGTAGAGGCTAAACAGGAAGGACAGAGCGCCATGCAAATAATCAAGACTTGCTGCAGGTCCTTCAACCCAGATAAGGATCAATTAGCTGCAATCCTGCCCTTGGAGTGCCGATGTCCTCTTTCTTTGCAAACCCAAGGCAGCTTGCATCAGGAGCAGCTTATTTCACAAACCCATGTTAAGTGGTTGCTTTACTTCTTCTCTTCCCTAACTCTCTTCCCTACTTCTTCATTAGCTTCCGCATTTTTTCTTTAAATTCCTAATTTCCCTTGGCAGAAACCAAAACTTCTGTGTTTCCGTGCCGATGTGAACAGACACAGACACTACAAGACTTTATCCTCTCTTAGTCCGAGATAAACTTGCTCTCATCTAGACTTTGAAAAGTAAAGATTGCCTACAGTTTGTAGATAGCTCCTGTCCATTCGTACGTAGCCTGATTCTCCATCTTCTGGCCTTGTTGTCTATTTTGAGGTTGAGAATGCTCACCTGCATTAATATTTGCATTTGCTGTGCAGAAATCTGCAAGTTCATTATTCAAAATGATCCCAGTCTGGTTGGAATAAATGAAGGAGCCAAACCTGCAGGGAGGAAGAAAGCATCCTTTAAGTAACCAGTGCTCTTCCACTGTGGATGACATTAGCTTAACGTGGCACCCTGCTGGGTTACCCCTGCCTTCTGCCAACCTGCAACCACTCCAATCAAGGTTTCCAAAACGTATTTGGTTTGTTGTGCAGGAGTTACAGAGAGCTTATTTCTGACAAGTACATGCGGGGATTTGCTCAACCCACAGAACCTCAGCAGAGCTCCAGAAGTTGTTACCTTTGTGAACTGAGGTGTTGCTTTGGGCTGATTCTCAAAGGCCTTTGCCATCACATGAAAAAGCGCATTCACAAGCAAGAAATTGCTTGAATTGCTGAAAACTTCGGTTGTTTTTATTTTTTTCATTGGTGTTAAACAGCCCTTGCATATATCCTGTAAGACTGTGAGGCCTGTGTTAGTGAAATACCAACCCCCTGGCTACTCACGGATAGTTGATGGTGCTGGTGGCAGACACAGCACTGCCATCTGCAGCGAGCACAGAGATGTGGCTTGTGCCTCTACTTTCATAGTGGCTGTGGACGAGCTTCCAGAAGTTATAATGCTCAAGTGGATGGTCCCCACGGGCATCTATTTGGCTTCTGACACGCTCAGCAGTCTCGTTGGACAGCATGATTGCCACAGTTGCCTGTAATCACAGCAAGGGCCTGTACCATCAACACGCTTCATCAATAAAGCAGAGGGAATGAAGGAAAAAGAGGGGGACATTCAAAGCGTTGCCATTTGTCTTCCAAACAAACCATCACACATGATAAGCACTGCTTTCCTGGGAATGGCTGAACACCTGCCTGCAGTAGGAAGTAGCAAATGAATTCCTTGTTTTGCTTTACCAAGTAAACTGTCTCTACTTCAACTCACGAGTTCTTGTACTTTCATATTTCTGATTCTCCCCCATCTCATCTGGGTAAGAGTGGCTGAGTGGTGCTGAGCTGCCTGCAGGGGTTAAAGCACAACACTTGGCCAGCTGATCAATGTTGCTATTGAGTAGCAATTCCAAATAGTCTCTTTTGTTCTGTGGCTGCAAGGCAGGAGGGTTCAGTGCATCACCTGGTGCTGTAGCACTGTGCTGGCAGGCAAGGTAGCCTGGACAATAGATAGCCTCCATGAGGGCTTAGCACATAAGCTAGAATATGTTTGGGAGAATGCAGGTAAGGAAAGGAAAAAAAAAAAAGGAAAGGGAAAGCATATGGACTCCTTTGTTTCTCTTCTTTCAAGCAGTACAGAAGAAGCTGCCAGTGTTGCTGGTGTCTGTCAATACTCCCGTGCACTACAGTAGCTTACCTTAGCTTCAGAGAAGGCTGGGTCTTTCATCTCAGGTTTTAGCATATTGCCAAACTTCAAGGCCTCTGCAATAAGATGGTAGGTTTCTCCCTTTTCCTTTGGTGTCGACAATGATGCCTCATGGAATTTATACTCTAAAGAGGAGGATGGATTCATTTGGTTAATGGACCCACTGGCCATTGATTTTTCTTGAAGAATTTTATAAAATGTTTAAAGGAGCCTCCTTTCCCCAGTTCACTTCATAGAAGAGAATCACAGAATCATTAAGGTTGGAAAAGACCCCTAAGACCATCTCAGTCCAACCATCAGCCCACCAACACCATGCCCACTAAACCATTTCCCTCAGTGCCACTTCTGCACTTGGACATCATCAGGGACAGCAACTCTACCAGTTCAGTGAGCAGCCTGTTCCAATACTGTGACCACTCTTTCAGAGAAAATACTTTCCTGATGCTAGCACACTGTAAGAATGAGCCAGTTCCTCATCCTGTTGCACAGCATAACCATAATGCTGCTTTGGAGTCCACACTGGCTCACCAAGACCCTTTCTGCCAATTCATTTTCTAATGCTCTAGATCAGTTCTCTTTGCAAACCTCTTGCAGCACACTTTCTCTTAGCAATTTACCTTCCAATATCTTGAGGATGAACAGGAGCACAGCACCTCCCAAGGGTGGAGGAGGAGAAAACACAGTGATGTTTTTGTTCAGGGTAATGTTCAGAGCTGAGGATACTTCTGCTTTGTATGCCTTAAGGTCCTCCATTGAGATAACAGACCCTTCAACAGAAAACCAAAGAGACAGCTGTCATTAGCATGTTAACGTGAGCTTCTAACAGGTGCTACTGGCTGGACACATCAGAGCCTTGGGAAGCTTTCTGAAGAGCCATTTCTGCACACTGAATTTCTTCTACCTAGCACAACAGAGTCTTCTTGTGCCCTTATCTAACACAAAACTCTAGGACATTATAAAGCCCAAGGGAACTGAAAAGGCCAATATGTGAGTGCTACAGGCAAATACCAGAGTAGTGGTTGGCTCTCATCCCTGCTTTTGGGCCTAAGTGACGAGAGAATGGGGGAAAGATGTTCACCCTGTATCACCCCAAGAAATGAGTAAATGCCATATTCTGGCTATCCCCAGGTCTCTCCTCCCTCTCATCCAGTTGCTGGGAAGAAGCCTGTCTGCTAGTATTAAAATGTAGCTGTTACCTACCTACTTTCCTAATGTCTTCCACCAGGGCCTTTCCTATCTGTCCCTCATAAAATGCTGTAGCTCCATTTTCGGCCAAAATTTTCAGTGTCTGCTGCAGTGCTGGCCACCTGAAGGTCTTTCCAGTTGTCAAAAACTTCTGACCCTCACAAATCAATGGGCTGTTAAAGAAGAACATCCATCAGATTACAGAATATGCTTATTCTGTTCCCAGTGCCAGACCCTCTTTCCTACCTAGAGCAGATTTAGTTTCTGGATGTCATATACTTTCCAGAGCAGTGCTATATTGCAGCGTACATGGAGAAAAGTAGCCAACTGCTACTCACAACACCAGGCACATTTTCCCATAGACAGAGTTTCCTCCATGAGACCTAATGCTTTGACCCCAGCTCAGACCAGCGTGGCTTCCCTGAATAAGTGCCTGCTGTAGGGCCCTGCTGTCAGGAGACAATTTCCACACAGACAGAGGCAGGCTACATCCATCCAGCTCTCATGAGCAGATGTGCTTAGCAGAAAGTTTTGCTGTGCCAAGCCACTATGAACAAAACAAAACAAAAAAAAGTTGCTGACAGTATAAGATTTCCAAAACAAACATTTCTGTTATTCTCTCTCCATAGCAAGCACTTACTGAGCAGCAGCTGCAGCAGCCTGTGCTATATGTTAGCAGAATGGTCTGAACTGAGGGAGCACTGTTCCTTGCACTTCAGTTTAATTTGTGGGTCTTACCACAGGTTTCGTCCCACTTGGGAGAAGTTTCGGTGATTGATTATTTTGTCCATAACTGGGGAAACAACAAGTGGGTCTGAAAGGAGCTTGATGGTTGGTTCAAACAGGGATTTCCATGGCAAGCGGCCGTATCGCTTATGGGCTACTTCATACCCACGAATTTCTCCTGGTACAGCAATCCATCGGGGCCCTGGAGAGCAGAACTGCAGTGTTACACCTGGTAAATCACTGGCCTGTGGAGTACAACTCTCTGAAAGCACTCAAAGTATGGATTCATAGACTGTTCACATAGGCTGTGAAACTCTCCATCCTCAGAGAAGATAAAAAATGTGACAACATAAGGCCCTGAGCAGCCTGCTCTAGTTCTGACATTACCCTACTTTAAGCAGGAGTTGGAGCAGAAATCTCCAACCAGAATTATTTGGGATTCCTTTTCAGCTGTTCTAAGGGCAAGAAAATCTCCTCCAGGAACAAGGACACTCCCCAAAACAGAATGTGCTAGGGAAGGAGAATGGATACAGCAAGAAACGCGGAAAGATCCAAGATGTGCTGCTAAAGTAAGTGCCTGCTGCCAACTGGTGAGAGCAAATGGACATGGAGTGACTGCAGGTGGTAGTGAAGTGACAAAGAGATAGCTAAGCAGATCTGAAGCTCAGCAATTTAGACAAAGAGGAAGGTCCCCAGTTCCTTCATCCTTCCTTCTGGGCACTACACACTCTGAGGTCCTTACCGATGGGTAAACGAGCACAGCCAGACAACAGATCGCTAGGAATGCCTTGGGGAGCTGTTTCACGGGCATTGATCACCTCGACTGTTCCTAGAAAAGAGAAGGAGAAAATGCATAACAGTCTCTTCCAAAAGGCAGGTGAATATCACACAGCAAGTCAGCTCAGCAGACTGACTGGTGCCTGCCTAGATGCAATAACGGTGCATGGACAAGGCCAGCATCTGTATCCCAACATCTGGGATATGCTGCTTCACATCTGATGCATCTTCTTGCATTTCCTCTGCAGGTGGGAAGTATCAGAGACAAAACTTGAGTCTCATGCTACTAGATAGATCATTTTCCAAGTGATTTTCCAAGTTGAGGCAAGGTCATGTTCATACCATGTTTGCAATACCTAGGTCTCAAGAAACTTGAAAAGAAAAAAGGAACAGTCACACACTTGTATTTCAGGTGTAGCCTAATTATTTCTCCTCCTTATCTGCCTTCTATCTGTCTTTTTCCACTGCAGGCCACAGAGCTGTCTGTGCTGCAGTAGCCCATGGTGTTGCTGTACCACGAACGAGAGCCATGCCTGGCCACCTAGGGCTCTGCACAGCAGGATAATGTGGGTAGCAGAAGAGAAGGGTTGTTGGGAAAGTGGCTCTGCCAAAAGAGGGAAAAAAATATAGGTGCTTTGCCAAATTATGCTATTGCTTAAGAAACGACTGAGAATTTCCAGACTTGCAATTCCATGATACTACTTGGAAGGGTTTTTAAAACTATGATATTGTTATTTTGTCCGTCAACATCTATAAGCTCTGGGGGGTTTTGGTAGCCAAGGCAATTTAAAAAGCATTAAAACATAAAAGCAAGAGCACAGTAATGCAAGAGATTAAACCAAGCAGAGAAGTACTTCCCAGCAGGCCCTGAAAATTGCTGGATTCAAATTTCTGAACAGAAGATGCATCCTCTGGAGCAGGAGTTTCAGCACCACTCTGGGGAGTCTGACTCCCTCCCTCCTCCCCACCAGTGATACTGTGAGATGCTCCCCATGGCAAGCAGGTTCTGCTGGAGCTGCTGCTGCTGCTGCAGGACAAACCTGTTAAGTCTTACCCCCAGGGCTCCACCAAACCATTGACAACCCTGGGCTGCTGCCCTCACTGCCAGCACATACATCTTGCTCCACTCCCAGCTCCTGCCATGGCAGTGCTCCCTCCAAGTGGCAGCTCGGACAGGACCACTCAAATCTTGCTGTACCAGTCAGATATATGACTTTCAAATATGATTTGGGATCACTTTACATGCCAAGGAAAGGTGCAGTCAGTTCATTTTACATTCAAAGCTCCTTCCCTACCACCACATGTTCAGTCTGCAAACAACTGCACTCTTCAGCCCTGCTCTGCACGCTGAAAGCTTTCAGGACAGCTCCTGTAATTAATGCTTTGGATTAAGAGCAAAAGTGTATTTTGTGTGTCTTTGTATACAGCTTTTATATAAAAGAAATTACTCTGAGAGAACGTGAAAGAATTTGACCATGGAGAGTGCAGGGCTGGCCCATACCTGTGCTTGCATTATAGATTGTAAATACGACTCCACCACCCAGGCCTGAACTCTGAGGGTTCATCACTGATGTGCAGATCAAACCAGCGATGGCAGCATCCACAGCTGAGCCCCCTCTTTTCAGGATGTCCCTGGAGTGAAAAGGGAAGAAAAAAAAGACAATGTTAAAAACCAGGGATGATGGAATGGAGGAGTCCCGTGAAAAATCACAGAATCATTGAGGTTGGACAAGACCTGTAAGGTGTTCTAATCCAGCCATCCACCTACCACCAATACTGCCCTCCAAACTATGTTCCTTAGTACCACTTCTACACTTGAACACTTCCAGGAACAGTGACTCAAAAACCTCCATGTGCAGCCCATTCCAGTGCCTGATCACTCTTTTCAAGAAGATTTTCCTAATATCCAACCTGAACCTCCCCTGGCACAATTGAGGCAATTCCCTCTCATCCTGTCTGTTATTCAGGAGGAGAGACCGACCCTCCCCCCACCTAGCTACAACATCCTTTCAGTGAATTGTGAAGAGCTGGAAGACCTACCCTGAGCAGTGCTGGTCTTCTTCTAGGCAAGAGGTCATGAGGCAAAGGGAACTGCAGCTGCTCACAAATGCTCTTGACAAAAAAGGATGGGAAGGAGCTGCCAGAAATGCAGAAGGATGCTCAGTGCAGAGGGGAGAGCGTCTACATACTGGGAACCAAACAAATGATTCTTGACTCCCCACCTGCCATTCCCACTAAAAGGCATATGCTAATCCACAGGCCAGAGACATGGAAGCAGAAATAATGGGTCCACACAAAGCAAACTTCTGAGACTCACTGTCTCAATTAGCACAAAATTCAAACCTTACTTCACTGTTTATGCAGCGTGCCTTCCTGGGCTTCTGTAATATAAAAATATCCCCATCATCCTCAAATAAAGCAAAAAAAAATACAAGGAAAAAACTCACATCAAACAAGTAGAATAAAAATAAATAAACCACCACAAAATGATTGCTTCTACCAAGGTACAGCCACACCAAAAATCACAAGGGCATTGAGGCAGACTCATGCTGTTGATAGAAGAAAATTTCTGCTGGAGAAACATGTCTCAACAAACCATCCTTCAAGCACAGCCATAACAAAATCTCCTTTCAGTGGAAACGTGATGCTGGTGAAGAGGGATTTCCTCATGCAGCGTGCCAGTGGCCAGCCCTGCTATTTGCTAAGGTTTCCAAGTGCTCAGCTTGGGGTATTGCTTGGAAAAGGCAAAGTCAGAACAGTAAGTGGAAGAACAGTTCATCAACTGGAGTGTAACTGCTCCCAGAGGCTGCTGCAGGAACACAGAGCACAGAGGGACTGCTGTTTATTTTACATCCATTATTGTTGTTGCGACCCGCTGGGGCTGGGAACAGGATGCTACCCACAGATCCACTGATAGTGGCTTTCCTTTGTTTAAGTGACCTTGGACCAGCTGCCTGCAAGGAAATGGTATGTGGATAACTGGGGAGTAATGAAACCACAGGGATCCACGGGGCTTTCTGTTTGCAGCCCTGCACAGCTTTCAGCCTCCTAGCAGCAAGCCGCTCCCCGAATGCTGCCCTGAAAGTGGTGACTGAGGCTCAGGGTTACGCCTGCAGAAGACCTGGAAGCATATTAGAAAGCTAGAAAAGAGTGGAGAGGACCACGACAGTGACCTGGGACAGTGGTCCCCCAAGCCCATGTACAAAGCCTAGTGCCAGGGAGAAAAACAGTCGTGAGATAAACTTAAGTGAAAAACAACTTTAAACGTAACGCAGCGCAATCAGATGTAAGAGAGGAAAATCAGACACATTGCTGTCATTTTCCCAAAGCCTGAGAAGCATTCATAGGTATGAAGTGGTGGCACTCCTATACTGTCTGTCACCCAGAAGCCTTCCTGCCACTCCTCTTTGCCTCCAGAAACACTTGAGCTTGGAGAAGCCCTCCCTGGTGAGGATCCCCATCCGTTCTGTGTCACAGCTAGCTGCCTGCTACAAAAGCTGAGTGGTTCCTTCTCCAAAAGGTGAGGACAGTAAACATATCTGTTCAATATGTGTACACCTACCTTTCAGCTTCTGGATGGTGCTAAGATCATTTGGTGTTGCCAAATACTTGTTTATGTGTGAAAACACCCCTTACCTGCTGCTAATGCACTGCCATATATACAAGGCACACAAACCTGTTTCTAAACAAGAGTTTATGCACGATCCCACCCTCCAACACTCCTAATTAAAAACAGACGGAATAACACAAGTTAGAACTTTGGCTCCCACTAAGATCAGGGAGGAGAGAAGAGGTCTGAGCAGGAAAGGTGCATCTGCCAGGGTAACAGGACCTCTCCCAGGAGCTGAGAGCTGGGCTGTGACACAAAATCCCTATCAAGATCAAGGAACCAGTGGGAGGAGGACATTTGTCAGCAAAGAGGACTCAGCAGCACTGCCCCAGGCAAATGAAGTGCTTGGTTATGAGCTCTGAATTACCCCATCCTGCTTTGTTACCTGACAGTTTTCAGATGGATCACACCCAAGACGCTGGCTTTGTGATTGCCTCAGGAAGACAGGAAAGCCAGAGATAATCTCAATTGTTCTTGTGCCTGGTGTAGTGGGGCCCTAATTCCTGTCTGTGACTTCTTGGTGTTACCATAACACACAGCAAAAATAACAGCAGCAGCCAACACACGAACACCTTCTCACAGAAAAGCTAAGCATGTTTTGCTTTGTCCTTGGTCACTACCCATCATTAAAACCACTCTGCAATACAAACAAGACAACAGGAGAAAGAAAAGGTTTCCAGGTGTTTCAGAAGTGCTCTACATTCCTCTCTACTGCGTGGCAACTGTTAGTCACTGTCACCTCTGGCAGCAAATACCACATGTAAAGATATGCACTCAAACTTATTTCTTGTTCAAGGGAAGGGGGCTTTCCAGGTACCTGCTGCCTTCCACTGAGCCACCACAGAACGGACAGCAAAGCTCCCCACCCACCTCCACAGCGTGCAACATCTGAGAACACGTCAGATAGGATGGGTTACATGATGCTGAGCATGGCCCTTTACCACTGTTTCTATGGGGAGCAGAGGTTAGGGAGGAGGAAAGCTGAGATTTCTCCCCCAGAACCATTACACTGGTTCTTCAAAGCATAGCAGGAAGCACGTCCAGCCCCAGGTCTCAAACATACATACCTTGGGGGGCTCACCAACCAACTGATGTTGTTTCCAAGCTCTGGGGAGGTGTATGTCCCTGACATCCCAGCACTCCTGGGTCCCAAGACATGGGACAGAGAAGGAAAAAGAAGCCTTAGAGTCAGGCTTTGAGCTCAAGCTCAGAAGTCATGGATCCCAGCAAGGATAAAAGCAAATCGTGGTCTCGGTTACTAATGACTTCTTAGGAGCTGCTTTCCCCTTTTACCTCTGAGGCCTGATATGTGTCTCTATGATTAGAGCAGGGTCCAAGGCCCACAGCCACACTCTGCTATCTGCAGACTGGCCCCCAGTCTCGACAGCTTCCCATTCTCCCTCCAACCTATCTGAAGGACAAGGGAAAACATTCTCTGATCTGGATTCTCTGATGATACTAAGATGATCAGGGGGCTACTAAGATGATCAGGGGGCTGGAGCACCTCCCCTATGAGGACAGGCTGAAGGAGTTGGGCTTGTTCAGCCTGGAGAAGAGAAGGCTGCGGGGTGACCTCATTGCAGCCTATCAATACCTGAAGGGAACCTACACCCAGGAAGGGAGTAAACTCTTCAAAAGGGCTGACAACAGCAGGACTAGGGGAAATGGATCGAAGTTGAAGGAGGGAAGATTTAGGTTGGATGTTAGGGGGAAGTTCTATACAAGGAGAGTGGTTAGGCCCTGGAACGGGCTGCCCAGGGAGGTTGTGGATGCCCCGTCCTTGGATGTGTTTAAGGCCAGGTTGGACAGGGTCCTGGGCAACCTGATCTGAATGTGTGTGTTTGGTGGCCCTGCTAGGCAGGGGGGTTGGAACTACATGATCCTTGAGGTCCCTTCCAACCCGGGTGATTCTGTGATTCTGTGATCCATTCTCTTGGCACACCACGCTCAGCTCCCCATGCCTGACTTGGCTGCATTCAGCCAGAGTCCATGCAGACTTGGCTGCACTCCCCACTTCCCTGTGGAATTCAGGGCCATTACACCTTTCTTGACCAGCCAAACTGAAGAAGCACTCCCTGTTTTATTGGTTTGCCTTCCTTTATTTGGATCACTGCTACAAATAATTATAATGCCAAACAGAGGAGAAAATCGTAACCCTACAAGCAAAACAGTCTGGTACCTTATCAGGTTCCTTTGGAGACAACTTAGCACTACAGCTGGCAAGACTTCATAACAGTATCCTTCCTGCCACTTAGTTTCACGTTTAGGGTCCTGTCATTAACAGCATTTCCTTAAAGTCAGGAGCAGAAATAGCATTTCCTTACGGAAGAGGACGTAACAATCAGGTCTTGTTCCAGCGGCAGTGAAAGGCTGCTTCACCCGCCCAGGAAGGGTGAATATCGGCACTTCTTCACACCCTCCTTACAGCCAAGTCGAGCAGCTCTGGACTGAAGTCTGCAGTTCTGCTCTGGACTAGGAGGAGCTGATGCCATTTTAAATACACTTGAAACGTGCTGGGTTTTTAATTTTTTTTTCCCCCTCCTTAAGACCACCTATTAGATAGGAAGCTGCCTAAGATTGATGAGGAGCAAAAGCAGCATCTGCTTCTGTTAAAAAATAGTTACCAATTTTAGAACTACTGAAAGACAAGATGGGAAGGCAAATCCTTTGGGATATAAAGATTTTTCAGAAATGCTGCTGGGTCATCACCGAAGAGGGTTTTCACAGCAGATCTTTTGCTTAGAACAGCTTCCCAGGAAACAAACAAATTTTTTTTGCTATTAAATTCTCACCCTCCCAGTGTCTTGTCCTCAGGGGGGTCTTTGTTCCAGAGGAAGCCAGTTCCCAGGATTTATACTGCACTGGGGATGTGAGATCTGAGGAAGCTCCAGGGCCAGGCCAGCTCAGCTCACCTCTCTGCAGCAAATCTCACTGCTGAGAATGAGCCCTTCTCCTAAATTCCTCCCCGGCTTTGTGCTCGCTCTTGCATCTGTCATTCGGAAACATAGGTGAGGAGCAGTGGCCAGCAGAGATCAAACAGCACACAGGAAGGGCATATAATGCTTTTTGCACTGTTGATGGAAAAATCCTCCTCCACTGCCAGGAGGAAAAGAGGTTCAGAGCTGGAGGTGAACACTGGGTTGGGTACTGTTTGCTGCCAGGCAATCAGCTCCTGTCTTCTCATGGATTCCTGACATGAGGACAAATTAACTGAGGTGGCCTTCAGTACCACATCCACGTTCTAAAACCTGCTCTGTCTTCTCTTTTAGCCTCCCATCCCTTCTCACTGAAGTTCATTGAGGGGCAAGGTTTTGCCAGAGTAGGGCCCCTGACTGTGCCTGAGAGGACAGACACTCAGTTGCTCAATATTTACTTTCAGTCCCCAATTTCCAGCAGTACAACCATCTGCAGCAAGAGAGTCAACCTCATTCAGCACTGCAAATCAGGCGCCAATAGCTAAGAGCCAGTCTAGCACAGGACCTGCCAGCAAGGATGATGATGCTTGCCGAGGTCACTGGCTTTCTGCAGGGAGCCAAAGAGTTGCATAAAAATTTCAGACAATTCAACCTCACACAACCCTAGAGTGTACAAGCACCATCTCCAGAGATGGGAAACTGAAGCCTGAAGATAACAGCTCAGCACAAGTTAAGAAAAAGTAGCAAATGGGAGTTGTGGCTCTGCTCCCCCCTCTCCATTTTGTAATAAGGAATTAGAGCTATGTGGTTCCCTTGCTGAGCCTTCCTTCACAGCTGAGAAGTGATGGAATTCAGCAATACAGGCATCTTGAGATGTTTTCCCAAGCTCACCATCCCACTTATTAAAAGACACTATTGCACTTAGCACAAGAGATTTGGTTCAGTTGCTCTCATTAAGTTCATTTAAAAGCTCTGTTGGGGAGCACAAAGATTCAGCTTCATCAACCACTTAAACCATCATGTAACACCTCAGAAATTTCATTACTGCTAATGACAACTCACTGCATATTGGCCAACAACGTGGTTTGGGCTGTTAGTTTTCTGTTTCGTAAAGGAAATTAGACTTTTGATTAAAGAATGAAGTTCATAAAGAGGTTAAAGAATAGGTGCTGCTTTTAACTTCAGACATTTCAGGCACTGAGCCCACTCTGCACTTGGAGCCTCTCTGTGCATCCTTCACATGGGCTTCTGAGAGCCCAGCGGGATTTGCAGGATAAAAAAAGATAGCTGGGGGCCAGCCCAGGGCCCCAGCAAACAGAGGGACTGCAGAGTCATTGGGGGGAGCAGGGACAAAGTGGCACTATTGGATCTCCCCGTGCACTTGCCTCTGGGGACTGGTTGCCATTACTCCACTCTCACCAGGCAGGCAGGTTTAATCACAACACGTTGTTTTCATTTGATTGTATAACTTCGCCGTGAAGCCTAATTAGTTTGTTTTTCCCATGGTGCTGTGGAGGTTACTCTTTACATATGTTTCCACTAAAAGCATCAGCAAGAATGCATTTGAGGAAAGTTGTTTTGCTTATTTTACTTATTTTTAAACTCCTCTAGAAAATTTTAAGTGTGCATGTCTAAAGCCAGTGGTGGTCTGTCTGCAGTTCTGACAACGCACTTCAATGCAGCAAAGCTGTTTGCCTTGAGGGGGAAAAAATGTAAACTTCATAATTTTTATTTTATATACATCTATGTATTGTATGTGTGTGTGTGTGAAGGAATGCATTATCCATCTTTGGTAGATTCATTCTCTAGTGATTTTTTGGCAGTGACAGTAGAACTTAGCCTGTTCCATCCCTGAGCTGTGGGGGCCAAGCACAATTCCCCCAAAAGTCTGTTTGTCACAGCTTTGGGTGTCAGAAAACGATAAAGAAATTACTGTCTTGGAGCTCAGTGCTCCCCAGACACAGCTTGCAAGTGGAGAGGCCAGCAACGTCTTTCCTCAAACACAGAGGATGTGGATAAGGAGTGAGGTGACCGAGCTGCAAAGACAGGCTCAGGGCAGAAGAAAACCTGTAGAGTTAAAGAGCCTGTGAGCAGGGGGTAATGGACTGGGTACAGCATTTGGTAGGATGAGAAGAGCAGCACTAGTGACTGTACAGGCTCTAACAGCAGCACAGGGAAATGTGAACAAGCAGACATGATAGCAAACTGCCCAGCAAGGACTCAGGAATTGCAGTACAAGTCCCAGCCCTTGCATCACTGGGAATCTCATTGCTCATTACACCTTTCTAACTCCTCAACTCTCTGCATCAGCCCAGGCCCAAAGAGACAGCATAAAAATTTGCAAATGTTTGCATAATTGCAGAAAAAGAGTGAAGACCTAAATACAATACTTACTTAAAAAAAAATAAAATAAAAATAAAAACCACCCCCAGTTGATAATTTCTTTTTGTTTCCTTCCTCCTACATCTCATGACTTTGGGAGTTAATTATTTCTGAACAGAAGAAGTCAACAGCATTGTTGTACTCTTAAAACCACTCAACTGGCTGGGCACGGTATGGAAAGGCATCAGGGCTGTGCACAGAAAGATGCTTGGCTTTGCTGAAGCTGAAATTAGGTGGCAAATGAAGTGGAAGCTCACAAGTGGCAACAAGGACCTAATGGCTAAGACTGCTCGGAGAAATTGGATTTCATTGCTACTGCTATGACAAAATCCCCATGTGAGAATAAAGATCTCAGCCTAGGTTAAGCAAGAAGCCTAACCTGGGGCCCAGCATAAGAAAATCTCACTTCTTGATGTGCACACAGCCACAATGTGCCTTCACCAGTTACTCACAAGTGCTGTGTCAGTTTGTCACTGCACAGTCTGCAACAAGAAGTGTGGTGCAATGACACCAACACCTGCTCACTCCTCCAGCCACAGGGTAGAGCACACAGCTTCAACATTCACACGTACTGCATGTAGCTTGTAAAGGTTTAAGTTCCATCCTTCCATTTTCATGCATACATAGGTATAAGAACTGAAGTAATCGCAACAGTAAGAGTTAAAGTCAAGAGTTAAAATACATGAGAAATAAGTTGTTGTGCGAACTAGAGTCTTATGACCAGAGCAGCTTGAGGATTTTACACCTAGATCTTTCCTTCCAAGCAACATAAGCATGCCTTCTATACTTACACCATCTTGGTTGAGTTTCAATTACATCTGCACTTTGCTTTCCAATGCATTGTGCCTTTCCTGATAGCAGATATGCCTACTGCAGGCTTTAGTCCAGAAATGCACTCCCTAAAGGCTGGGCTGTCCATCCCTCCTTATCCCATCCACCTGCTTGCCTTCCTCACCCCTGCTGAAGCCTGGCTGCAGCTCCCTGCTAGATCCTCTCCCACTTTTCAAGAGAAATTCCTAAGCCACTTATCCAACAGACTTACCACTATGAAGTAAGCAGTTGATTTCTTTTTTCCACTATTAAAAATAACATTACGTTCACATTGCAGCTTCCCATAGGCCACTCATGTGATATTAGGTAATTAAGATAAGCATCAGAGGAAGATCCCCATCAATTTTCTGAGCTGCTCTGCTGCCAACGAGCACCCAAGGAGCAGCAGCTTTCCTCAGCCCAAGAGACAGGGATGAGGCAGAAACCCAGCTCACTCCCAGTCACCGCATGTACCTGTCCACCAACCCAAGCCCACGACACACACAACACAAACTGTTAAACCAAGAGGTCTGTGCACATACCGGCCAATGTTAGAGCAGGTCTCGGTGTCAGCAGCCACAGCTCCATGCAGGTACTGCTGAGGACCACACTTAGGTTGAGTCAGGGTGACCAGGAGCACAACCACGGCCGCCAGCACCCCGAGGGTCAGCAGCACCAGGCAGCAGATCCTTCCTGTCGTCATGCCTGCTCCTGCACGGCCAGAGGTGCCTGGGAAGCTCTCAGTCCTCCTGCGAAGGCGTCTGCTCTGCTGCGGGGGAAGTGGAGGATCCCGCAGTGAAGGGAGGAAGGGAGGTCTCACTGAAGCGGGTTCTGCCTCCTGTGATCGACAGTTACATTTTTGAAGAAAAGCTGAGACAAAGGTAATGCTGCACTTTCTCTTCTCTGCTCTCTAATGTGTGACACAGCTTTCACTTTCTTTTATAAACTAATTTTCTGGCAAATCCTCCTTATACCCCTTTGATTGTTTTTTTTTTTTTAAGTCTCTGATGAAAACATTTAACGCATTCATTGCTGGAGCACTTCAAAGTGAAATCCCAACACTGGTTTTTGGTTTCAAGCATTTTCCCTGTCCTTCCACTCTCACCGCATGCAGCAAGCTACAAAGCAAAGACAGCCCACGTGTTGAATCCCTGGGAAAATCACAGCACTGATCCTGCATTACACACAGGATACTTTCCACAAGGCTACTCAAAGAAGTAAAAGCTAATCACTAAAGAAATACAAAGCTAGAACTTTCTCATTTTCCCTATAGTTTACTCCACCTTTCTTAATGACTTGCTTTAAATCTTGCCGCTGCCCATGCCATGCATCTGTAAAAGAGCAGAACAAATAATTAAATGTAATAAAACAGCACATTTCTGCAGCTCTACACAACTCAAGAGTTAAAAGCTCTGGGGTCCGGGCTTGGATTGCTCAGCAATCACAGCACCTGGGAAGCAAAGGGCTCTTGAATAACACAGAGCAGATTCACAGCACTGATTAGCAGCACAGCTGGCCCCAGTTAGCTCTATCAGAGCTCTTGGACACACAGTTCCTCTCACACTCAAAAAGTTAAAGATAAGGCTTTATATCTGCCTGCTGCCTTTATCAAAGTTATTACCTGTGATCACTTCCCAGCTAAATTTCAGAGGAGAATTCGGCTGGGCACACTTTTAACTTGCACCCACTAAACTGCACTTTGTAGCTGAGTAATGCTATTCCACGTATCATACTTCTATAAACAGATTTGAAAGATGAGCACGTGTTTTCTGTAGTTGTATCTTCCCATAAGGTCATGTGGTGGAAGTGAGAATACTCCAAGAGATATATATTGTATTGTCCAAGATAAACCATGGCCCCTGGGGAACCATTTCTTGGTCTCCATGCCTCCATGTGACTTGGTAACACCAGGTATAGCTGCCAAGCCTCCCCAGCTCTAATGTGACTCTGCATTTCACCCCATTGCAAAACATCCCTGATCTCACCAGATTTCTCTGTGTGACTTTCATATTTGTTTCTTTCTCTCCACGTTATTCCATAACACCTAAAGAATCAGTTACAGTGGGTTTAGGGAAAATCATTTCCTGTAAATAACTGGAAACCCTGGCCATCAAGAGAGTTGAGTGGATTTTGCCTGTTTGCTTTCATCAAATGCCATGGAGAAGTTAACTGCAATCTCCAAATTTCTTTGAAATTTGCTTTTCAACTCAGCAGGTCAAACACCTGTAAATTCACAGTAACTGCTGTGCTGCCAAAGAGAAGTCCTGGAAGTGGCAAGAAAGAGAGCAGAGAGCATTAACCTCCAGACCAGTTCTGGACATGCCAAGATGTGGTTGGGATCCATTGCAACAGATAATCCCCACAGGCAAACCCTTCACACACACAGGAATGAAGGCTGAGCTATCTTCCCTTTCTTGCTGCAGCCTTCACAGTGTTCTTGGTACAGTTCTCAGCTTTGAGATATTACACTGCAAAGTCTGCACTGGCTATATCTAAATTACACTGTTAAACATACATATTTTAGTATTTGCTTAATTAGAACTACAATTATTAATATAATTTATTAACTAATAAATAGGAACAGAATCTTTACATTGTTCTTTATGCTGTTTGGGGTCCCATTACATCTTTTTCCAACTCTTCATCTGAGACTGAGCTTGAAAACTGTTTAACAGTTGAAGTACAGGCATAACTAAGGTTAACACAAACACCCCAGTCACCTTATAGGCAGTAATAAATCACTGAGGGGTACAGAACCTCACATTTTAAAGGCATAGCATCACTACAGAGCAGAGGAGTTGGGAAGAAGTTCCCTTGCAGGCAGCTTACTGCAAATCGAGGAGCCACTCTCTGAGAGCACTGGGATCAGTTTGCTGAAGCAGGATCCATGGCAGTACAGGGCCAGCATCACGGAAACAAGGTTTACTGCCTTGTCTGCAGCAAAAGGGTAGGTTTGTGGCATTTTTCTCCATGCCTCTTGAGCACAGTTTCCCATTGGTTGAGGGAAGGAGAAGAACATCACTGGACAGAAAGCCAGACAGTTCTGCCCAGCAGAGAAAAGCTACTCCACCGACCAACAATTTATCACTCTTGTTTCATCTTTGATAAAAATAAACTAGAAGAACTCTAAGCACACTCCAAGCATTCTCATGGTAGCGTCCTGACCATCCTTCTTTGCCTTTTGTCTTTGCACTTTTCAATTCACATTGCAACATACTCCAGGGGCTGCATTGTTCTGCTGGTGTTTGACCGCAGCGCAGTGTCTGCAGTCACTGTGATCTTACCATAACAAATAAGAAGTGCAGTTTATATTTCTCAACACTAAATGAAGTTTAAATTGATGGATAAGAATCTAGGAAAGTTTCCAAAAGCATGCAGCCGAAGCCAAATTGGATGCACTTCATACACTGTTTGTTTCCCCCTCCGATCATGCTACAATCCAGAAACATCCCTTGTCTTTATATAATAAGCAAATAAGAAAAATAGAGGCAGCATTCTATGAATTTAATGTTCAGATCTTGTAAGAGAGCAATCAAAGGATGCAGGCCACAGATGTTGGTGCTCGTGATGCACCAGGAAGGAAAACCCTAACCTTTGCAAATGGTTTTCTTTGCACACAAGCAAATTTTCTTTACTGATGGCCATGATTTGCTCCCACGAAAAAGAGATACTCAGAAATTGCAAATCCTGGTACCAAAGAACTTCTCATTCGTGCACTTGTGACAAAAACTAAACCCATAATTTCCCCTAAATTCAGGAAAATCAAACTCTGTTTCATTTGTTATCGAAACAGTCTCTAGAATTACTCATTACTTATATGTCAGCATTCAATGCTTCCTATGACAGAGCAGCCACACTCAACATCAGAATAAAAGTGAAACCTCCTGGTGCAGTATTTAACTCTTTAGTCTGTTTTGAAGCAAATCCAGTGGGAAATGTTTTCTTAAAGACTAAACCTCATTCATAGCATTACTGCAGTAGCTTGAAATACTGGTGCTAGGAAACAAAAGGGAGTCTTTTGTGCATCCAAGGACACCTGGAGTAAATGCTGTCTGAACTCTGTTTCGACTAAATTAGGCAAAAGTACCATGATGGTGACCACAGAGGATATCTCTAGAGGATATTAACTTACTTGAAAGCATTAAACTCGCTGAAAGTGTTAAATAAAATGCATTTTATAATTAAATACACATCTACCTGTGTATGACAACTTACACAGCTGCCATTGTAAGCTTTGTAAGACCTCAGCAAGACAGTCTGTGATATTATTCCAGTTGAATTTTTCTATTATTAAATGCAACAAAGCATTGCCAAAGTCAAAAGGAATTACTGTTATGTTATAATGAAATCAGTAAACAGAGAATATGGCTCGAACCCACATACCCTTTGGGAAAACATCCATTTGTAGGGATGTTTTAGATGCTATACACTACAAACATGATGGTCAATGACTAACAGCCCTGTTCAATCCTGAGACAGCACGTGAGTATAAATAACAAACATCTGCTCTGCCAGTGCTTGCAACAAATGAAGAGCTTCCAAGTCAAAAGATCTCTGGCAAGCCAGTGCTCCTGGGTGCTCCCTGGGATCCCAGGCTGCCAAAGCCCATGTCTACTGCTGGGATCCCCAAGCAGAGTGCCAGCCTTTGGCATGCTGCACTGCTGTGCTGGAGTGGAACTGTTCTGCTGGGGGAGGCAGCTCAGCTGCTCAAAGAAATCTCACTTTTTGCAGCTCAGACAAGGCCTGCCAGAATCGCCTGGGTCAGAGAACTGGCTAGAAAGTAAGAATCACAGTTTGAAGCATTTATATTTCGGAATTCATTTACATTTCGGAGTTAACTAAAAAAACCCCAACTCACTCAGTAATCTGCCTCTGTTTAGTTTTCTAATGAATAAGACGCTTGCCAAGACAGGGAGCCAAGAATCAGACTTAAATCCAAACTTTAAAGCCAGGTTCTCAGCTGGGTAAAAGTCAGAGGATTGCACTGATATCAGCAGAGCTCATCTGCTCCATAGTGGCTGAGGACCTGAGGTCTTGCTTGTTCCCAGCAAGGTAGGAATACAGGAGAAAATTATCTAAAAGCAGAGAACAACCAATTCTCTCTTCCCTTCTTCTCTCCTCTCTACTTCTGCCATCGTATTTTATGGAACCTTAGCGATTTATTTACGTTCTTTAGAAGACCTCACTTGACACTGATGGGAAGCACTCACATTAATCTCAACAGAGACTGACCTACGGCCTCACAGCCTGCCCCAGCCATTTGTCCACGAGACTTTTGCACTCTTTTGGCCATCGTGTAGAGCAGGAAGTTCAAAGACAGCATAACTGACTCCTCTGGCTGTCCTGACCTACACGTCTCAGCACTGCTGAGCTGGAAGCAGAGGAGCTAATAAGGCAGAAAGACACATTCAAGTGCTCCCAGCTATGGTCAGAGCAAGAGCTGCATACAACTTCATCATTCCCAGGCAGGGGAGGCTGGAAGACCTGTGAGCTTTGTGCTGGGCTGGGCTGTTGGTGGCTGAGCGCAGGGCAGGCAGAAAGGAGCTGCTGTGCTCAATGGAGCTAAGCCCTGCTCAGGAACAGCCTCCCAGCAACAGCTCAGGACCTCAGGGAGGGAATGGAGATGTGAAAAGCAGTATATAAATGGTGGCAAAACCCACAGGTTTGCCTGCTTGACCCTTCCCAAGCCTTCCTGGCCCACGTCACTCTGGTTCCTAACTCCAGCTCCTGCTTCCTGCAGCCAGCCACCACCACCCAGGAGATATCTGGCAAACCCTCCATGAGGTGCATACACCAACCCCCAAGCAGCTGCCATGCTACAGCATCCCTAGGCTGTTCATGCAGCTGGTGCAACTTGGTTTTGCTTCACCTCTGTTAAAGAACTTGATTTTAGTTCATGGTGTGTAGAAACAATAGGGACTGTTGTCTGAGGAAGCCATTTGAA